TAATATTTATTTACTCTATAAACAAGTAACATAAAATGAGTAAATAAATATATCTTATCCATAGAAGAACAATGCATGTGCATGGATCAATTGTATGTTGATTTGCAATAGATAAAAAAGAAAGAACATACAGAGAAGTGAACGTATTAGTCGAACAAAAAGAAACAAACCTCACATTTTTCTATACAGTGTGTTCAAAACGTTAACGACCCCCCCGCGGTCTCGGAAAATAATGATGAATTATCGAGGCAAATGTAGGATTTTATCTAAGCAATCTAATGGTGACATAAACAATGAGCTTGATATTGACTTTCCTAGTCTCTTCAATGTGAACTTGATTTTCTTAAATAGGACCATATTCTTTTGACCTCGGAATGATATACCATTAACCATGACCTTGGTGGTCAAAGAAATTTTCTTTAATGGGAATATCCGTCAACACCTTAATCAAGCGTTTGAAGGCAGATGGATAGGATGATGTGGTAGAATTGAGCGGCCACGGCGGTCGCCAGACTTAACCCCACTGGAGGTCATTTGAAAAGCAAATTATAGACTACTAAACCACAAGATCAAGATCAGATAAATCGGGAAATGTATCTCGATGTTACCCCCTTATTGTCAAGGAAATACTTATAAGCAGAAGTCAAAAAATCAAAATTGGTTCTACATTACCAAGCTCAAAACATTTTTCTGTTGGTATACCACAAGGTAGTAAACAAGGTCCACTACTAATTATTTTATACATTAATGACATTTGTAATACTTTAGATTATTGTAAAATTCATATTTTTGCAGATGGTACATCAATATACATATCAGATGAAAATATAGACACTGCTTCAAAAATGCTAAATTCTGACGGCAAAAATCATAAATTGGTTAAATGAAAATAAACTAAAATTGAATACTTCTAAAACAAAAAGTATGCTGATTGGGTAATACCTAATTGAAAATACTATCACAGTTAGGATAAATGGTGTAATAATTGAAAATGTTGAATCAATTAAATATTTAGGTATACCTGTATATGTTGATAGTAAACTACAGTTTTAAGATATCTATGGATACATTATTTCAAAAATTGCCAAAAAAAAACGAATTACTTTTATAGGGATTCTCATAGTCCTGGTACATATTCCAAGAAAATATACTAAGTGACATATAAATCCGAACACCCAGTTTAAATGGTTTTATTTTAATAAAAGTTGGTGAATGTATTTATCTTACTGTAAATAACAAGTGAAAAAATGTTCACCCTTATCAGTTGGACATTCCGGTTTTTATACTGCTTTTTTTTAATTCACTAACTCTCTAAAAATGAATATTTCAGCTGCAGTAAAGAATCAACGTTGGCGGATTTTGGTTCTTGACATCCTTTACGATCGGTTACGATGCCTAGAGTACGGAGACCTGTACGATTTCGTCAACTTAGTGAGTTCGATAGCGGCCGTATAGTGGGACTTCGGGAAGCTCGACTTTCTTTTCGGGCAATTGCAGTTAGAGTGCAAAGAAGTGTATACACTGTGGTTAGGTGTTGTCAGGCATGGCTTCGAGAAGGCCGTACGCAAGGGGCACTGGACGCCGCCGTAGAACAATAGACCGTGAAGATCGCCGCCTAAGATTATTGGCCTTAAGGGACCGTTTCTCCACTACCAGGTCCATTGCAAATGAATGGTTTGCAGAACACGGAAGACCTATTGGCATGCGAAGTGTTTACCGACGAATGAGAAGTTTTGGCTTGTTTTTATACCGGCCACACTGGGTCCTCCCTTTAACTCGAGAACACCGACGTAATCGCCTTGAGTGGTGCAGACAATGGTCACTCTGGGATCAGGAATGGAACATTATTGTCTTTAGCTATAGCTTATGGTTCCAGGTCACCTTTAATCTTCATCAGAGGTGACATGAACGCGAAACGTTATATCCACCAAGTTCTAGAACCCCATCTTTTACACTATCTTGACACCCTGGCAGATCCAACTTTCCAACAAGATAACTCCCGACCACATGTTGCAAGAGTCACAATAGACTTCTTTCAACATAATGATGTCACATTGTTACCATGGCCACGAAGATCTCCCGACTTATCCCCAATTGAGCACGTGTGGGATATGATGGGTAGGCGATTGCTCAATTTGCAACGTCCTCCTCAGACTCTAGAAGCACTTCGAGAGGAGTTGGTGGTTGCCTGGAATGAGATACCACAGGAGGACATTGACCACCTGATCAGAAGTATGCCTAGGCGCGTTGGAGAATGCGTAGCACATCAGGGTGCATCCACACATTATTAAAGGTCAAAGGGCTTTAAAGCAGTGCAATCATTTTGAAATTTTTATCATTTACTTATTATGCTTCATTAAGTACTTATACAAAATTTTATTAAAATAAAACCATTTAAACTGGGTGTTCGGATTTATATGTCACTTAGTATAGTTGATAATACAATTATTCTACCGCATTTACTCTATTGTTCAACTATCTTGATCACCGCCAATGAAGCCGTATTATCAAAATTGCAAGTCCTGCAAGATAAAGCTATGAGAATAATACTGAATAAAAATAAGTACACCAAAATAAAATCTATGTTACGAGAATGGCAGTGGTTGAATATAAAAAAATCATATCAGATACCTAGTTCTGTTACCACAATTATTATACAAGATTACATATAGATTTTCATTTACAAAATTGAAATAGTAATATAACTAGCAAATCAATATTTCAGAAAGGATTACTTGAATTTAATAAACTAAATAATGATATAAAGTCTACTTGTAATTTAAAGATAATTAAAAGAAAATTGAAGGAATATTTCATGGACAATGAACATTCTTAGAGACGCAATTTTTTTTCTAAATATGTTGCTTTGTAATTGTTCAGTTTTTTAGAAGAATGTAATTATAGCAATCATGCTAAATAAATCTTAAAGAAACAAACAAACAGAAATCTTCATTAGCCTTCGATATCCGAATAAAGGAATGCTCTTCCCCTCACTGGCCAGGTCACTGATCGATCTGGTCATAGTCATGCTCTAGGACATATCCAAACTCAGAAATGTCCCCTCTTCGATTTCCGGGGTCACAATTAAAAAAAAAATACTTGGAATGACCATTCAAAGTCAACGTATTTACACATAGAATGTTTCCCCTTTTCCAATTTCCGTGGTCAAAAGTACAGGATCCCGTTAAGAAAATCAATCTGGCCTTGAAATGATGTTCAAGGTCAAAGTCAAGGTTATTGATCATCATTACGAATCATGCACACTTTTACAAACATTGAAAGCTTGAGGTAGGCGTCTCTCAAAATTTATAATTGCAAGACGCACAATGTAGTTTTCAGTTTTATCTCACAATCGATTCATTAGAGAAGGATTGAAAATTCAACAACGTTGCAACTTTGACATAAAAATAAACGTTTAGTGTCGATAATAAAGCTGTAAATGAAATGGAAATGAATGGTTTAGTTGTGGTATACACACATACAGTATGTACAACTGTTTTTTTTTTCGAAAGTTAACAGTGTCTTGCAATTTGGAGCGAAAATCTACGTAGCACCATCTTCAACTAAACAAAACATTCACATCGATACTCAATCCGCATGACACATCATTATGAGATTCTGTCTAATTTAACAGAATAATGTATGATCGTGAGGTGTGCAGTGTATCAACAATAATATAAATTAGTCAGAACCTTGCCTTCCTCTAAAACATATATTGCACTGGTTATACACATATCGCAAGTCACTAGTTCACATAGATGCTCTTTATTGCGAAATAGAATGAGACCGATCATAGCTACTAAGTATAAAAATCGCTATGGTAACAGCTGAATAGTTTTGTTAAACTCCTTTTTTCCACAAAAGTTTTTAAACCTCCTTATTTCTGTACTAAATACATAATATATCGTGTACGTCATCCAAATTATGGTTAATCGAGACTGTGTTATCAACAAAAAAATATAGGAGATATGTGGTGCGATTTGTGAAATTTTTAATAGCGGCACCAGACTTCCAAGTTGGCTATGTCAGGGGCTGTAATATCATCAGACCTCGCTGATAATAGTCAAAGAAGTATCTTGGCATCAGCACGGAAAAATATTCTGATTCATTTCTTTGCATAATCTGATACAAAAAGAGCCGTCAAGCGGATCTGCAAGTTGCCAGTTCCAAAATTGCATCAAAAACTGTTTAAACATTAACTTCAAACAAATTCTAAGGATTGTTGTTTCTCTCATACATTTTCCAGGCTTTTGGGTCATTCTGGATAGAAAATACTCTTATTCTTACTTTAGGGGAAAATTCAGAATGATCCAAAAACACAGAAAAGCTTTGTTTTGAGCGATTCAAAATCATTTTGGGAATTTGTTTAACAATAGTTATTTAAACAACTGTTAACGAAATTTTGGGCCTTAGTCTAATCATATTAGCAAATTCCCCCAAAATAATTCTAAAGTGTGGTTTTATTGGTGCAGATTGTTCAAGTGGGACTACCAGTTTTTGTGGGAAAACTTTTTATTCGACAATAAAGAATGAGAAAACGTGTTTTTTGGGATTCAATCGAAAGTGTTGACAGGAAGGAAAACACTTTTCATATAAGATTTTTCGGTATTTATGAGGCCATACCATAATTTTTGAACGAGATTATGCAGTAAAAGAATATTTTTCCGAGCGGATACGAAGATACTTCTTGGACTGTAATAACTTTTATAGAAATGCCAAATGATGGAGATCTCTATTCTTTTTTATAAAGTTTAACTACCAGTGTTTCTAGTATGACGAAATATGTCATAACTGTATATTCCCTGAGTAATGCTTCTAGAATATCTAAGCTTATCTTAATCCAGCAGAAATTTATTTACCAAAAAGTAAGGCCAACCTACGAGTAAAACGCAGTTGATTTATAACAGCAATATTTTTATGAGAACTCTTATATTTGTAGCTGATGATATGTCACATTGCAATTCCTTCACCAAGACAAACACATGTAAGTCTGTTTGGACTTACTCAGGTGACTTGGAAGAACCCAGGCAGCAGTTAAGACAGTTGGTGCAAGAACGCTGTTGACGCCTACCGTTTTACATACAATTAATTTTTACAAAAGAGATTTACAGAAAGTGTACAAAGTACAAATATACCAGGTGAGAGCAGTATAATGTGAGAAAGCTTCTACTTTTGCGGCTTTGTAAGGTGAAGGTATGGTGATGGTTAATGGTAACTTAATGTTTAAATTAGTGATTAGGCATTTCGAGAGTTAAATATCCAATACTTGTACAATGAGATGTTGTACATGTAAGCGACACTCGGTATGTGATTTAGAATGCCTGATTTAGAACAGAACTCACTCAATTTAGGAAATATCTTTTTAAACAGAAATCAGGCTTACGGAAATTTAAAAAAGCACTAACCACAAACTACTTGAATACTTTTAGTAAAATAACCTGAAGCTGCAACTGCCAAAATAAATCAGCTTTCTCGAGTCCCTCTAACTAAAGGACAAGTTGTTAGACGTTGTAAAATCCGTTAACTTTGCCACGAAACTTCCTAAAACTTCTTGCACTTTTACCGAAGGATATGAGTGCCTGCAGGTGAAGTTTCTAGTTTCAACTAAGCCGTTATTAGTGGGTCGATTTTGGATCGCTTGAAACTTCCTCTTTATTGCAATTTTAAGTCGATGTCGTGTCCATTGTAACTAACTGAATATCGCAGACGAAGCGGCCCGTTACGCTTTTATGAACACGTTACAGCTATTGAGAATAGCTTTCTTTATAGCAAAGTTGTAGCTTGAGCATTTTTGCCGTGTTATGCCCCCAGTGCAATGTACAATATTGAAGTTAATGATTGAGGACGTAAAATAGAGCGAGTCGTAACTCGATTCTTAAATATGATGAAAGTGCTAACAAAATTCCATCGTCGAACATAGCTCACTCACCATTTTTGATAATGAGAAACTATATTGAAGATATGGTGGATGGGAGATCAAAAGTAGGCGGTTACGACTATACTACAACTATTTAAAACTGTAATGACTCATACGCGTGATCAACACGTGATCAGAACTCGATCCCGGCTTCCTTCCAGTACAGCCGTATAGCGTACGACATATGTCGTTTCTGTGGCTTTGCGGTGGTCAACAGCACAGACAGAGATGGAAATAATGGCTGATTGTTCTCCGCCGGTAGAACCAATGAAATCAAAGACGCGCCTCGACCGGCAGACTCATAGGCGTCGGCAACGCATTGGAACGTGTTTCGTTCAGCGATCGCATATTGTGTGTTTTTATAAGAATTGTTCTGTGATTGTTACTGTTGTGGTTTCTGTGGTTACTGTTTTGGTTATACTTAACCATGGAGAGTACAAATGGCACGAGTGGAAGTACTGAAAGCCAGGGAACAAGTAGACGGCTTCGTAAAGCACTGAAGAGGGACGCGAAAGAAATCGTGCTCAACGTGTTCAATTATCTGAACAGAACTATGTCGCAGGGAGATGCACTCGCGCGTTGTGAAAGTATGACAGGCGTTCCAGAGTGGACCATTCGCAGGGTGGTGCATGAAAAGAAGAAAACTGGAGCAAAGATTGATCGTAACTCATATTGGTAGCGATAGTGGCTTTTTAGAAGAGTGTGACTTGATTTTCGTCTCTAAGAAAGGAGGCGATTACCATGACGAAATGAATGTCAGCTGCTTCGAGAGCTGGTTTCAAGGGGTGCTTCAGCGAGTTGAGCCCAACTCTGTGATCGTCATGGATAATGCTTCCTACCATAGTCGTCGAGCCGAACGTGTACCGACTATGGGATCTCGAAAAAGTGACATGCAGCAATGGTTGCGCGAAAAAGGAATCCCGTTTGACGATTCATGTGTGAAAAGCGGAATTGTATGCAAAAATTAAACAGCACAAACCTGCGAACATTAGTTACGTGACTGATGAGATGGCCCGTCAATGTGGTGTCACTGTGCTGCGGTTACCGCCCTACCACTGTGAACTGAACCCAATAGAGCTCATCTGGGCTCAAGTGAAGGGTTATATTGCGCGCCATAACACAACCTTCAAATTACCAGACGTTAAGGTTTTACTTGAGACTTCCATACAGCTAGTAACGCCCGAAGCTTGGCAGAATGCTGTCCGTCATGTTGTGAAGGAAGAAAAAAAAATGTGGCAGCTTGACCACCACATCGACACCATCATAGAGCCAGTTATAGTCAATTTCAACGAGGAATGCGATAGCGACAGTTTATTACTGTCAGATGTAAGTGGAAGCGACGATGAATAAAGGTAATTCCCAAATTTTTGACTTACAATATGTTTCTAACCACTCTTTATTAAGCATGTGACAAATCTACTTCACCCATGTTAAACATTCATACCCCGCCTATGAACAGCCGACTAATGGTAGTTAAGTGATGTTCACGTGAACATCGATGAGTCATTACAGTTTTAGATAGTTATAGTATAGCAGTAACTATAGTGGGAACGATCAGTTGCCTCAATTCTGTCTTTTTTTTTGGGTTTATTTGTGTTTTAATTATACATTACCACGCAAAATTAACAAACAAAATTTTGTTCAAATTGAATTTTAAATAACTTTTTAACCTTTGCATCAATTGGCGGACTGCATTTATTACACCATCTCGAGTTGTGAACTGTCGTTGCCTGATACAGTTGTCAAGAGACAAAAAAAGGTGATAATCACTGAGCGAAATGTCGGGAGAATATGGCGGGTGCGGTAACGTTTCCCAGCCGAGTTCAGAAATTTTTTCTCGGGTCATATTTGCGGTATAGGGCTTGGGGTTATCCTGCAAAAATATCACTTTCTTCCGATTGATCAAAGAAGGCTGCTTGTGGATGAGTGCTGCTTGTAGTCGTTGAAGCTGCTCACAATACAAGTTAGCAGTGATGGTTTGACTGCTTTCCAAAAACTCATAATGGACAGTTATAGTTGCTGTTCACCAAACACACAGCAAAACCTTGTTTGAGTTCTGCAGAGCTGCATAGCTGCCAAAACTTTTGCCTTAACAGAAAAAAGCAGTCGTAACTTGATCATTATTTATTTTCCATGTTATCACACAAATAGAAACAATACCGGCCTGCCCCCGCAAGACACGGCATCAAGTCTGTTGTGCAGCATTATAATCGAGCAATTGTGTACTTGTCATTTTCGTTGCGACCGCAGCGTAACATTATTCATGGGCCACTTGAAAAGGGTCTGTGCACTACTTCGACACAAGCCGCACGCGCTTGCTTTTGTATCTCTCGACAAAATCAAATGCGCGATTTAAGCATAAGCATGTGCTGTAATTTATGCCGATCCGTACAGATCTAATGCGAAGTACGATATCTAATTGGTCGGTCGGTGCTCGGTCCTCGGTATTGGCATATTATATTTTTTAATAATTCTCCTCAACGCGTATAGGTACTGAACAGAATTGTGAGAAAAAAAATTCCACAAGGAGCAGAAATTGAAGAAAATTTCACTAATAAAACCGTTTGCAAGGCAGCTTGCGGTATTCGCCGTATGTTAAACGACTGTTTTCGTGTTTTGGGTGACATTTTTTCATCATGTCATGCCTCAGTCGACATCTCGTTCAACCAGTTGCAGAAGAGAAAAAGCGAGCCAGCGCAAGTTAAAACGGCTATCGATAATTTTGAAAAATGTATTGTCGATGTGAGAAATAAAATTGATGACATAATAAATGAAGCCAAAAGTATTTGCACTGAACCCAAAGGCAATAAAAGGAGACGACGTAATAATAGCAGTCACGATCACCGAGTTGCCGCATTAGAAGTATGCGACAATATAGTGAATTCTGCAAATGACAGATTTCAATTCAAAGATCATTTGGTAGCCGCATCCCTTTTTTCGCCGAACACTTTGGAGAATACCGTGGTAAGTTTCCTGATGACAAGTCGGAAACTACCTGCTTGGCTTATCCCGAATTAGAAAAAAGTCGTTTAAAGACAGAGTTGTCTGTTATTTAAGCACGGAATGATTGCCGAGATTTACATGGAACTCTGTATCTTTTGAAATTTTTGAGACAAAATAGTTTGGAGGAAACACTAAAAGAAACAAAAAACCATTAGAAATTATTGTTACAACATCAGAGTCTGAGCGAAATTTCTCAACATTGAACATAATCAAGACTTTTCTTTGTAATACTATGACCCAGGATCACCTTACAGCATTGTTGATGCTGTCTATTGGAAAGAAATTTATTTCGACCATGGAGAATTTCAACGGGAAGGTGATCGACAAATTTGCTGCCAAGAAGCAGCGCAGGATCGAACTGACATATAAAAATAGGTAAGTTCGGATTTGCAGAACGCCTGTTTTATTTTGCCACGAGCCGCCAGTGCTTGGGTCTGTGTGATACAGAATCAGCAGGCGATAACCAATGATACGAACGCTTAGAATTCGAATACAAGATCCATTTTTTGCCGCAGGTTAATAACCGATTAAGAAATGGTTCATTAGCGTTGCGTGAAATGTTTTCTGGACAAATGGTAAGACGACTTAATCTGTTATCATTTGCCAGTTCATGCGGGACCCATTTGCTTAATTTCCACGTCGTTTCTAGCTGATGAAGATGCAAACGAATAGTTTCAGGACTCATTCTGAACATTTCTGCAAGTTCTTGGCACGTTGTCCTGGAATTTGCTTCCACAACCTGTCGAAGATCCTCGTTGGTCATGATGTTCTGTTCGATCTCTAACGGCATCATCTCCGAATGCGGTACATATTTTTCGCGCCGCCGCTGCAGCTTTTGTATAAAGTTTGTACTTATACAGTAAACTACTTCGAATTACTGTTTTATTCGTCACCATTTTCAATTATTAAAACTAGGTATGTAACAATATTCAGCAACTTTTTATGTGTGTGAGAAAAGAAGGATTGATACTAAAGTGACAACAGGTAAACAAGCAATCGCTATTGATCAACAACATCTGTGGCAATGTGCGATATACAGCAACCGCACGAACTTATTTTTTTACCTGATAGAAATAGGAAAAAGTATCTACAAGTTGGTTGGGCCCGTACGCAAAGCTGAAATCTGTCGAATATTCTAGAATGAAAATATTTCACGCACAACCATTAATCGTACAATAGCGGAGTGCGAGTAGGGAATACCATGTCTGAATCTCCCAAAAAACGGAAGACCACGTGCGGAGGTCAGAGAGATTTGTGAGAAGAGCAAAAAATCAGGTTGGAATGTCAACAAGGAGGCTGATTCGTAAATACAGATATTCGATATCTTTGGAATTGAGAAGGAGTGGTATTAAATACTGAAAGAGACTGAAGTGACCCAAATACTCTCAAGCGCAACTCCTTCGTATACCAACCTGGTCAACTGAGGCCGGTACACTTTGCCAATGTAGAAATCATTATTTCAGATGACGAAAAGTACTTCACTTTGACAAATTCTGAAACGAAAGGAAACGGCGAATTTTATACGGACAAAGTAGAAGAATGCCCTGACAATGTTAATTACAAACATGAAGCGAAACTTGCCGGTAAAATCCTTGCCTGGTGCGCAATTTATAACAGCGGTGTATCCCAACCCTTTGTGGGAAGATGAGGGGTGAGGCTTTGGATAGTCAAAGCTGTATTGATAACTGCTTTTCCAAATTGCTTCAGTTTGTCCGACGAACATCATGCTAATGACTATATTGTGTTTTGGTCAGACCTAGCATCATGCCATTACTCAAGAGCTAGCATCCACAACACAACGTACCTTTTGTCTCTAAAAATAATAATGCTCCAAACTTGCCACAGGCTCGCCTATAGTCAACGCCAAATAAAGTGGCGTGCACGTCATCAAGGTGGGTGTGTTGAAAAATTTACATTGTTGCCAAACTTTTTGTAAAATAATAAAATTTATTATTTACATATCTAGGTTTATAAGCAATATTAACCTCAAATGAGAACAAAAATAATAGTATAATAAAATTATAGATCTGTACTTTCATAATCATTAAGTATGACAATTATTGATCAGATGACACTATGAAACTACCATATTTAATTGATAGCTTAAAGGTACTGAATAAAAATCCAAATGGGGTCCTCCAAATTTTATGCATGGTATTTATTTTACAGAATTCATACAGAAAAATGCATTCTAAAATTAGGTAAGCTACTGGTGTAAGCTTTTTCTGTACAATAAAGTTAGTCGGAGTTTCTTTCTTCAGCGCTGTCTGAATCTGAATCTTCATCACTCTCAAAGTTGATTATTAAAGGTTCGATGTCTGGTCGATCAAAAATTCGTTCTCTTTCATACCATTTAAAAATTTCTTGCTCAGTATGTCGAACACTATTTTTCCACATGTCTGGGGTAACCGTTTGTAGAGCCTCGTTCCACATATCCAAACAGTCTTTTTCACTGTTACCATCTCTACCAATATGTCTGTTATAGTAACCTTTTGCTATGCCCCAAATTAACTCAATAGGGTTAAATATATGGTAAGGAGGCAGACGAAGAACTTTGTGCCCATGTTGTTCCGCCAATTCATCAATCACGTATATTTTAGGTGGTTTGTTTCTAAAAAAGCAGTTATTTTAAGAATAGGAATAAACAAAAGAAATATAAACTGTCGACCAAAATATATATAATTAAGAAGCATTATGTACCGAGCAACAATACTCAATAGCTCTGTTTTAAACATTGTGTTTAAAAATGGTATGTTTTGATTTGTCAACCAGTCTTGGATATTTTTTTTTGTCCATGCATTGTTGGGCACTTTGTTCAATATCATGCTGTGATAAGGGGCGTTATCCAGTATAATCATAGATGGACTCTCCAATTTTTCTAATAACTGATGTTGAAACCATTTCAAAAAATTGTCCTGGTTCATCTCTCCATGGTAATCGCTCAATTTTGTTTTCGAAGAAAATATCGCTTCACTACCCTCAATAAACCCATTTTCATTTCCAGCATGTAATATAATGTATCTAAAATATATTAGTTTTAAATTTTATAGTGCAAATTGTGTAAAAGTACATACCTTTTACCATCTGTTTTAATAGCTTTCACGCTTTTTTGGTTTCCATTTTGCCAAGAGCGACCTATGGTCCCATTTTGAAATATCCAAGTTTCATCGAGGAAGACAAACTGGTATAAGGCCTCAACCTTGGCTTGATTGTATTGTCTTAGAAATTCCACCCTTTTCAAAGCTATACTTGGTAGTTCCATGAGCCCTCGTCGCGGATTGTCCTTAAGCCACTTAAATCCAAGATCTCTAAGCAACCGCCTTAAAGACGTGGCACTACCATCAAATAATGCCCTATCTCTTAATCGAGACCATAAAGTTTGTATCGTAACTTGTTCTTCTGAAACCATGTGTAATATGACATTATAATTTAGTTAACAAATTAATGCAAATTTCTGATAAGTTATTATAATAAGATCTTACTTTTGTGATACATATTATAGATCACTTCTCGAATGGCACTTGTATCCAATGTCGCTGTGTTGGTTACACGTTTAATATAACTCCGCTTTTTCTTGGGCGATTCTAAATTTGCATCACTTTTCACACCCTCGGAAATACGACTAACTGTCCTTAAACTAATTTTTAAAGCAGCAGCAACACGCTACAAAAAATGAAATAAAATTTCACTATTATTAATATACATTATATATAATTATTAGTAACCTGCCTCTTGAGCAGCATTTAAAGGCAACAAAGGCCCGTTGTTGTCCCTTTCTTGCTCAAAGTAGTGCATTAACGAGGCCACGAGTTCCTTACACCGACTATTTAACTGTTTGGGCATCTTTATATACCAAAATTGCCTTTATCTACTCGTAAAATGAATAAGTTTGTTTTGAAACAAACAGTTGTTGATTCACAGTATGCGGGGCCAAAGGATTTATAAAGATTTGAAATGCCACAAATTGATTCAGTGTCAAAATTAATACAAATGTCAGTTCCCAGCTTAAATAAGTTTCAAGGTGACAATGTGTCAACGCTGCGAAATCGGTTTAGTGCGTTTACATGTCGATAAGTGATTGGAGCGTTTGCAAAACATTTTATTTCGCATAATGCGTCTAAATTTATCAGAAAGCAACTTATGTGATATTTTAATAACAATGTTTATATGACTATTAACCATAATAAGAGAGTAATGACCATTTTACAATTTATATATCACATTAATATGAAACTGCAATAGAGCAATTGTTTGTGATAGAAACCTAGGCATTAGGTCGGGGAATTTTTGTCGTGATGACGTGCACGCCACTTTGTTTGGCGTTGACTATAGTAGATTATTTTTGGGCGTTACTGTCTAGGAAGGTTCATCATGAAGGTTGGAAAGCCCAAGATGAAGAAAAATTAAGACGCCGAATTTAGAAAAAAGTGACAGAAATTGACCTGAATTCCGTCCATAAATCTTGAGTTGTGATTTATGATAACTATTTTAAATATATTTAAATGAATTTCTTCATTAAAATAATCCGAAAAATATTCTATTTCAACATTACAGAAACCTTCAGATGATGTCAGCGATACTATGAACTTATAAAATATTCGCTCGTAAAGCGAACAACAATTGAGGAATAAGCTTTTATAGACTACTTTGTCATTATACTGCTGGAAGCTAGAACTTCATGAGGATTTTAGAGCTCTGAACTATTTAATTTTTCTAAATGAGTAGTTTTCGTAAGAGAGTTCATGGTCTTACAGCATCGTATACAGCTATTCATTACACTATCAATTTTATTGTCTCATCGTCTTTCAAATAAACTTTAGCGTTAATAAACCTCAAAAAGGCAAACATCGTTGTCTCAGAATGTCACCAGAAAAGGTCGTAAACTGCTCCTTGATGAGTTGGCAGGGGCTTTTATGGGTACTTCAATTAAATTACAGCATTTTGGCAACGGAGATCTCTAGAAGCATGGAAGACAAACAGAGCAAGAGACGTAAGGTTAATATCAAATGCGAAGA